CAATATTAAAATAATACTAACATGAATGAACAAAAAGTCAAAAAAGAAACACCATTGTAAAAGTAGGCTAATTATAACCACTGTCATTAAGAGAGCTTGCTCCATCCTGAACACAGTACAGGTGGAGGAGAAAAGAGGACAGTGACAAAAATCACATCACTGCTAGACAATGTCTCCCACCACATGCATGAAGCTGTTCAGAAATTTAGGGCTCCTTCACTGAGAGACTGCTGCACCACCTCAGGTGTAAATAGTAGTGCCATCACAGATTGTTCATCCTCGCAGCCGTAAGACTTAAAGTTATATAACCAAATTAGATGCTTCAAAAAGACCAAAAAAAGTTTGATCATCAGAAAAAGGTTATAAACACAAGCCTTCACCCTAATAAGGCTTTGATGGTTCTTTTTTTGGATAAATGTTGCCCCACCGCCAGGTGATTAGCAGATATAAACAGACGTGCTGTGACAGTATCACAGAACTACTAACATAATTACAGTTTGCTCAATTAATAAATCAAAATGAAGTAATGCCGGACCGAGGAATGAAATGCCTCACAGTAAAGCAGCAAAAGACCAACCATTATAAATTAACTTAACCAATCTATAGCAACTCTAACATTTACTCAGGTCAGTCAACTTTGTGGTCACATCTGAGTCTCGAAAGGTTTAGCGTCTGCTTCAGTGAACACTAACGCTCATACTGTATTCCTAGCGTTATTCTAGTCTTTTCCCTCTTGGAATAATTTTTTTCTGCATTTTTTTCCATGGATCTTGGGAACATTCTTCATTGTTTTGCCTGGAGATGCTAATAGCCGTTGGCCACTTCCTTGTTTTAACCCATGCAGCGCATGTGCAGTATGTACTTACGTTAAAATTCTAAACAAAAATGACAGGCTTTATTTACTAACAAATTGAGCAAAAACAAAAAATTAAACACCAAAATAATAACTAATACACCAGCAGGACATGATAATAATTCATAAAAAACTTCGTATGCAACAAGAGTGAGTTACTGACGTATAAGTTATAAAAAAAAGTCAAATAACGTGGTTAAGCCCCTTTAATGACCATCACCGCTCCCAATGACAAAATCAATAGGTCTTTAGTAATATCATCTTTATTGTCACTAAAACATACATTACAACGAAATGTGTTCTCTGCTTTTAACCCATCACCCTTGGGGAGCAGTGGGCTGCCACTGTGCGGTGCCCGGGGAGCAATCTGGTTAAGGGTCTTGCTCAGGGAGCCAGAGTGCAGGCATTGGGGATTGAACCGGGTACTTGCATCCTTCTCTGAGTGCAAGCGCGCTGCTCTAACCACTAGGCCACCACTCCCCCACAAGGGGGATATTCATACATGCAGGTATTTGCAGTTTTTATCTGGTTAATACATTTTTACAAATGTTATATTACACAGCTCTTGTTGGGGGTTTCTGATCTTCCAAATATGTTGCCCACTTAATTTAAGTATGCCATTTAGATAGCTACACAGCATTTATTATGAGATTTGTTTTGGTCCTTTACTGTACTGCCTATTAACATTTTTGATTCTTATTCTAATAGGTTTTTTGGTACTGTTTAGTTTTTATAGTTTTTTTGTGATGTGTAAAACCATATGTTTTTTCTTAGCTTTTTGCTTTGCTACATACACACCTGAAATGTTCCACTGTGGGAGAATAATAGATATTTTTATTCTATTGTATCAATTTTGTGATATTTGAGGTAAATGGTTATGTCTAAAGTAACAAATAATACAACAGATAATCAAGCAGTGATGTCCGCCCAGTATTAAAACATAGCTGCAAAGCTGTTAGTTGGAGAAAAACTTTTGCACAACTGCACTGAAAAATATCTGTTTCTACATTTAATTAAGAAATACAAACAATACTAATATCCCTCATGACAACACCGACACAAGAAGAGCTATTAAAGAAGGTGTACATTGAAAGTGAAAAGAGGAAGATGAGAAAACATGCAAAATTTGTTTGAATGAATATTTAATCTGCATTTTATCAAATACCTTGGTTGATTATGACCAAGAAAATTTATTCTGAAGAGTCCTGTTAGTGTTGCACAAGAAAGCTGGGGAACTAATTATCTTAATTAACCTGTTCATCTTGTACTCATAGCCGTACCTTTTGCTCTTGAATCCAACTGATTGTTTCTTCAGATGTACCTCGACCTCTCAGGAAAGTCACAATTTCTGACAGATTCTCTGCCATTATGGATCTGGGAGGAAGAATAAAAAACAGAAGAGCTTAATTTTAGTGAACTACGTCAGGGAGCTTAACTAGGAAAAGCTTGGAAGATTTTTGAGGTTCTGCACTGGGTCTGATTTGTTGTTATGTGGAATTATTGAGGTTGAGTTTACAGTTCAGACCAGCTTCACAAGAAGGCCAACTGGACACACATGTGGGATGCTCCTAGAACTGTCTGACAGCTATGATAGTTTTCCTGATTTCCACAGTGAGTTCAGTCACAGATGAGGAGAATTAGAAGAATAAGTAGGAAAGAGCCATGAAAATTGTATATGCAGTATTCCATGCATAAGAATAAAGAAGTGTTTCATTTGATATGAAAAATCAGACTATTTGGACTTTATTGAAATATTATTGCTTTTATACAAGAATTTTTATAAAACAGTGTCAAATCTAAAGGATGACGCACTGTTGACCCATTAGATAGTGAAATTAGGTATCAGAACAGACTTGTGCTTGTATTTCTTGTAGCTCTGCTCAAATGTTGCAAAAATAATGATTATAACCATTTTGGTCAAAACTGAAATCGTGTATATTCAACATTACTAATCTTTTTTTTTTTTTTTTTTAGCCTGTGTCTGTTTACCTTTTTTCATCTGAACGGCTCCGGTGTTCCCCTGCCTAGGGAAGAGAGAGATGGTGACTGGTAGTGGTGTAATTAGTGGGTACTAAAAGACGGTGACGTTAATGGTAGTTTGAACAAAGTAACATTACTGTAATGCAACAGAAATGGCAAGCCCAAAGTATCTTAAATATGCTTATGTGAGTGATGGAGCGGGTCGTTTGGACAAGCAATAACAACTAATTTAGACAATATAATGAATGGCTCACATTAGGTTAAACGCTACATGTTGTATGACGTTGCTAGCGTTTATAAAGCTGGAAATGCGTTGCATCAAATAACTCAACCAACCTGTAAGCTCACCCACCTAAACTTGCAAAATTATAACGACAAAATTATCAATACTTTAGCTTACCTGCTAATTGGCCAATATGTTTAAGACAAACTGGACGCAGCTGGTCGGAGCATGATCGAAGCTTTCTGTCTGAAACGGGTTGTGGTATAATGACTTAATTCTCGTAATTTTACAACTTTATTCTCGTAATATTATGACTTTATTCTCGTAATTTTATAAGTTTATTCTCGTAATATTATGACTTTATTCTCGTAAATTTACGACTTTATTCTCGTAATTTTATAAGTTTATTCTCGTAATATTAGGACTTTATTCTCATAATGTTGCGACTTTATTCTTGTAATAATATGACTTTATTCTCATAATGCTGCGACTTTATTGTCGTAATATTATGACTTTATTCTCGTATTTAAAAAAAAGAAACTTCTCTCCGTCGTACACAAAGAAATAGTCGCCAACTAGTGTTGCAAAAAATATTGTCAGCAGGGCCTTTCTTTAAATGCAGAGGTGATGTAAATCATCAGTAGTGGCACATAAATTATTAAATGTGCAACATCTGAAAATGGCTACTAACAGTGCATGGCATTTTTATAATCAAAATAGTATATGCATGATAAATATTGTTAAGATACTCTTCTGCAAAGGATATCATACCAATTAATAATCTGGACATATATAGGAATAATAAAATAGCAACAAGATGTTTTGGTAAAAAAAAAAAAATTAGTTAGTTCAACATAAAGTGATTAGCTTTCTTAACCCTACCAATTTAGGATTATGCCTGAAATTACCCTGCCAGCCCTATAGTACATGTTTAGTTGTACGTTAAGAGTTGGTTGTCTTCTAAAGCTTCTCTTTCTAGCACCAGTATCCGACCATTCACTTCTACCATAATTTTTGCTCCATCTTTATAGGAATGAGTAGATATCACTAAGTCAAATGCTGTTTATTGTATTTTTAACAGTCGGTTGGATGATGGAGAGTGACCAATCCCATGACAGGGTCCCAAAGCAAAATCTAACTGATCACAAAATATTACCATAACAAAGCACAGAAATGAATAAGTATGAAAAACAGGTTAACTTAAATGATGTAGATTAGTTTACAAAGTTAAATAAATTAATAATAAACAGGAAAACCTTCAGCAAGATCATTTTCAACAGATATGAGGTGACACTTGAGTTGACTGGGAGAGGTGAGAGGGAGGCGTAAAAAGAGAGAGAGGAGATTGATGTCACGGTTGAAGAGCAAGTGTGTGTTCATAAAAGAAACATACCAGCTGCTGAAGCTCCTCTCAGTCAGTGAGTATACCAAATTTAAGATAAAACTAAGTGTGTGAATGAACTGTTTATAATTGCAAACTTGAATTTGGAGTTGTAGGGCAGATTATCTATATCAAGGATCGATAAAAATCTAGACTTTGATATTGATTTATTTAAAAAAAAAACTATATATATATATAGAAGACTCAGTTAAAGCTTTCATGACTGGGAATGAACAAAACAGGTGGATTTTTCCATCAATCTCCATCAGATGTATAAATAGCATACATTTTTATGACAATCCTAAAGTAATCCAACATTCATGTGATTGTTCATTTGTTTAGTTAATTTTGCATTAGTGACATTTTCAGATTGTTTTTGATGGCATTTTTCTTTCTTCTTGTTTTGACCAGACTGTGCTTATCCACCTTGACCACCCCCTTGATTGTCGGTGATTATCGAGTGTCACAGGAAATCTATCCGACTGCGTCACCTCTACACCCTGTAACCTGGGGGACACAGTTTCTCCTCAGCCTTTTTCTTCATTGTTACTTTTGTTGTCCAGTCCCACCCGGTGCCATCATGGATTGGATGGACTTAAGAAATACGAACAGTGGCTGTGATGGGAAAAACTGTGGCTTGGCATCAACCCTCCCAGACGACTGCTCCAATGAAGACTGCTACTGGGAAGAACCTATGTTTGGACAGATTGAATTAGGTGGGTTAAACAAAATATGGTAGTTATACTAGATTAGTTTTTTAAAGATAAAAGACACTCAACCCAAAGTCTGTATCTTTTTGGTGTGGAGAAAATTACACTGTCAAATACAATGAAAATTATTAAGGCTACATAATTAGGAATAAATTAAAGACAAACATGAAAATGAGAGATATGGGCTTTAAAATTTTCAGGGCTGTGCACAACGTGGGGAGAAAAAAAAAGCAATTTTGAAAGTAAAAATAAAAGAAAGTAAGAAACAACCGGGAATGAAAACAAAGGAAAAGCTGTTATACCCGCAGCACAAACAAAAAAAGCAAAGGCAGATAAGAAGTAATCGAAGGTCATTCCGAAAATCTTTAAAAAAGAGTTTAGGCAACTTTGTCGACTTAATTTCAGACATTATCTATACATTGCATCTTGAACTCTTTAGACCAGCAGAAAGAGGCTTTATTATTTAATCCAAAAAGTTCTGTCTTATTCCTATATAAGCAGCTGATTACATTAGAACAGTTTATCCAAACAGCCAGGCAGCCCTATCGAGTACAAATAAAATAGTTATTTCGCTTTGGGGAAAATACTTGTTGGAATGATGTCTTTAGAAACATCTTTTTTTTTTCCTCTTGGTAAAACTGATACCAATTCATTTAGAATGTTTGGCTGTAAAGATCAAAGTTTTGGACATATCAGGTTGTTGCTGATGAGCTTTCCCAGAGTACGGTATAATAGATTTAGTTCACTTTTTTCTTTGGATACCATAAAAAGTGTCAGTCAAGAATGTCTTGATTCCGAGCTAATCATTTCTTTTTACACACACACACACACACACACACACACACACACACACACACACACACACACACACACACACACAATAATATGCTAATAATATATGGAACAAGTGCAATCAATTTGCTCTCACTTTTGCAGGATTTCAATAATTTATAGCAATTATGTTTTATGTTAAATTGTACAATTTAAAAAAATCCATCCATCCATTCATACTATGCCTACTTTTAATCCATTTCAGGGTCTCAGGAGGGTTTGAGCCTATCTCAGCTGTATTTGAGCAGGCAGCATAAAGCGCTCAGTCCCACCCCAAACTGATCACCGCTTCATCACAGGGCCCCACATTTATTCTTTTATTAATTTCTCTTTACATAACATCATTAATTTTCTCATTATTTCAGAGCTTCATCTTTTTTACTCGTATAAAAATGAATGGCTCCAATTTCCAATTATGACTTGACTCTGCAGGTTGTGTCTGCAAACATTTGGATGAAAATAGCATGCAACACAGTATGGTCAATTAGATTAATTTCAACAAAGTCTGTTTTAATTCAGTTATTTTCCATTAAAAACAAAGGTGGCATGGTGGTAAGCACCATTGCTTCACTTCAAGACGGTTCCTGGTTTGAGTCCCCTCTATGTGGAGTTTGCACGTTCTACCTATGTCTGCTTGTGTTCTATCCAGGTACTTTGGCTTCTGCTTCTTGTCCAAAAACATGCAGTTTAGGTGAATTGAATTCTGAATTGCCACTAGGAGTGAATTTGTGTGGTTGTTTGTATCTGTATGGCCCTGTGATGGACTTGCGACATTTCCGGGGTATACCCCGCCTTTTTCCCATTGTCAGCTTGGATAGGCTCCAGCGCCCTGTGACCCTGTTGGGACTAAGCAGTGTAGAAAATGGATGCATGACTAGATTCAACTTAATTTAATAAACTTTATTAGTCCTTGTGGGCTGATTGTCAAAAGAAAATGTCTCTTAACCCCAATTCTGATTGTGTTCTCCTTCATTTATTTTTTAATCAGCAAAATTCCACCAATGTTGGTGATGGTCATCTTGTGTAAAGAATGCATTTTAGAACTAATCATGATCCCTCTCCGACTGAAATCCATCCATCCATTTTCTGAACCACTTATTCCCAAATGGGGTTGGGGGGGGGCTAGAGCCTATCCTAGTAGTCAATGGGCAAGTAGCAGGGAAATTTGGAATTTGGAACATGCAGGTTTTTGGACGGTGGGAGGAAGTCCAAGAACCCGGAGAGAACCCACGCAGGGAGAGAAAACAGGGAGAACATGCAAACTCCTGGTTCCCCATGGGTCTTGAACCCAGAACCTCCTGCTGTGAGGCGATGGTTCTAACCACAAACTGAAATCATGTAATGATGGTTAATATTTTTACCAAACCAGGAAGCGACAAAATATTCTAGTAAAATGCTATTGTGTTATTTTGCATGTGGTTGGAAATGTCTTCAAGTTCTATCCAACCACCCCTCTTGCTTTTTTTGAAGAATTGGTGGCTTCATAAACAAACAACGTCGCTCTAATGTAAAAACATGAATGTACATGTATTTTTCTGTATTTGCTGGAAGGACAATGTTATAAATTGTGTTGATTGGCTTTAAAACTCTTTTGTTTTAGTATCGTAAGGTGCTCCCTCAGTTGGGGTCCATGAAATAAACATTTTGTCTTTCCAATATAATGTCAGAACGATGTGCATAAACCAGTTCTATAGAGAATAACCTAGTTGTTTTGTCTTTTCAGTTTGTGTGACTGTGATCTACATACCACTGATGTTATTTGGCCTTCTTGGGAACATATTAACCATTCTGGTGGTTTGGCTCCGTCCACACATGAGAAGCTCTACTTACCTGTACCTCAGCAGCATGGCTGTCAGTGATCTATTGATACTCCTGCTTCTACCTCTGGATCTATATAAGGTACATACACAATGTGCACCTTTCTAAATACTGCACATGCTGGCCTTGGCAACATACAATCAACTCATGGTACTGATCTATTTAATAAATAGAGGTTTCCCTTTTGAATGAGGAAGCAGGAACAGTTCAGTTAGGCAACTTAATTAAGTTATTGTTGGATTCCTCCTAGCCTCTTTGAAAAAAAATTCAGTATTCAACAATTCTGTCATTCAGAATCATATAATGTCAATCTTAAATTATTTTTCCAGCAAAATGGCAATACCCTGATCTCAGGGTACATAACATCACATGATGAACATTTAAAGTGTGCACTGTCTTATGAACAATGGGGTTTATGATTATTACATTTCACTTTAAAAATAGTAGGCTTTAAATATTTTGAGGAAGAGTTGGAAATATTCTGTTTGAATCTACAAGGACAATGATGAAAGGAAGCTGGCTGGAGAAAATAGAGGATTCTCTTGTTTTCTTAAATGAAACAGTAAGTGCAACTTAAACTAATTAATGAAAAACATAGATTTGGAACACAAGACATACAAATAAGAGACCGTAGAGTTCAATAGTAACCAGGGAAACAAGAGCAAGATTCAAGAGCTATAAGAACAATGGTAAGGGCAGTATTGGCCAGTTTATTTGTAAGAAACTGGTCAATACTGCTTGTACCATTTTTTTTATAGTGGGGAAACTACTTTTTTTAAAACAGTGAGGGAAACTTCTGATGATGTGAATGCTGCTGTGGCTGATTGAGTTGGTGGCAGCTGTGAGAGTAAAGCTTAAAACTGTTGAATCATTTAATAATTTCATTAATTTTGTCTTTTGAGTCATTTTTTTGTTGTTCTCTTTTCAGTTCTATGAACAGATTTGTCCATTACTTCAACAGATCTATTCATAAAATAACCAGTTTTCTGCAATAATAGCAGTTTAAAGTCTTGAGCCCCAAAAAAATTGTTAACTTAATCTCCAAATTAGAAATATCACATCAGCTGTATCAAAGAGAACAAAATGGGCAGTGTGTATGTTAGTCGTTCCATGCTATGTCTGGGTATTTATCTATTGTTTAACATATCTGCGATGTCACAGATAAAAACAACATAAATCCTACTCCAGGAGAAGTTTTGACTAATTACTACTACTGTTAACAATTTAAACAATCAAATGAATTTTCTCTTGCCTTCTTTTTACCCCTTTAAATACGTTTGCAACTGCCAGAAATGGTCAGAAGTGGGTCTGAACAAGTTTCACATTCGTACAATACAAATCTGTTTAATTCTTCTTTAGTTCATTTGTGTATACAAATATACTTAACAGTTACACAAGTCTAAAGAGGAGCATTGTTGGTTAATTGATGGTTTAAAAGCCCTGTGATGGGATAGTGCCCACTCCTGGGATCCTCTGGGTCTCAACCATTGACAGCTGGGGTATTCTCCAGCTCCCCCAAGACCTTGAATTGGACTAATAGGGTATAGAAAATGGAGAAAATTGATGAAATATGTAGCTGGATGAAAATAAAAAAATCTGGTTTGATCATCATATTCTGAGTAGTTGATGAGTTTGATGAGTTATGTGCTCTCTGGACGAGCTGTAAGAACATCTGGAATGCTGCTGCTAGAGTTCTGACCAGAACCAGGAAATACGACCATATCAGTCCACAGCTCAAGTCTCTGTACTGGCTTCCTGACTCTAAGAGAATAGACTTTAAAACAGCCTTGCTTGTGTTTAAGTCTCTTCCTGGTCAAAAGCCAAAATACATTTCAGAGAACCTCAGGTTCTGGCCTCCTGATGTGGCCCAGAGTCAGAACCAAACAAGGAGAGGCTCCATTTCAGTTTTAAGCTCCTAAAATCTGGAACAGTCTTCCTGAAGAGGTGAGACAGGCCTCAACCCTGACAATAAAATCCAGGTTGAAACGTAAAACTGAATGTTTTTTATCTGCACCCTTCACTTTTCATGTATTTTATTTTGTATTTTGTTGTTCATTTTCTTTCTTTGTTTTCTGCTTTGAAACTCTTTGTTAAGCACTTTGAATTGTCTTCTACGTGAAATGTGCTAGACAAATAAACTTGCCTTGCCTTGCCCTGTTTGGTTGGCAGGTTTGGTGCAAACAAAGAAGGGCTTTCGTTTGTCTAATCAAACACATCTTCCTGTCTCTCACAGCTCTGGAGACCAAGACCCTGGATCTTAGGAGACCTTGCCTGTAAGATGACAATGTTCCTTTCAGAGTGTTGCACCTTCTGCACGATTCTCCACATCACATTTCTCTCCCTGGAGAGGTATTTGGCTGTCTGCTGGCCAATCACAGCCAAGACGCTGGTGACGAGGCGCAGGACGAGGGCCATCATTGGCTGCCTTTGGCTGGGCGCGGCCGTCAGTGCTGCGCCCGTGTTGGTCATGGTTGGAGTAGAGGAGGTAGGAGGTGAGGAATTTGGATTCAGCCAATGGAGGGAGGAAGGGGGATGGATGGGAATGGATGGAGAACAGGGAGGTTTAATGGTAGGCGAAGGGGAAAGAGGAAGTGCTCAAATTGCCCTGGTGGATCCGGGATTAGACGGAATTAAGTTTGGAGGGAAACAGACAGAAGACTGGAGTGAAGGAGTTGGTGAATTGTTGTTGGAAGACAAACGGGAGGGAATGCCAAGTGAAGCAAAAAAGGACATAGATAAACTAAAAGATGAGAAAGGAGCAGGCCAGGAGGGCAGTGAGGAGGAGGTGAAAATGGTGTTTGAGGGAGATCATCAAAATAAGATGAAGGAAGATGAGGGGGGAGGAAGAGAAGGGAATTTTTATGGAGGCCGTGAAAGAAGGATTGACAGAAGAGAGTGCCGCTGCACTCACTACGCCATCTCCTCTGGCCTGCTGTCGGCCATGATGATTCTTTCTAACTTGTACTTCCTGATACCCCTCTGCATCTTGGGACTGGTGTACAGTTTGATTGGACGGACTCTGTGGCTTCGTCCAAAAAGCAGCCGAAGAGATCAGAGTCATCGCAACACTGTAAAGATGCTGGGTGAGGAAGAAAAACACACTTGCACTTTTCAGCATTACATTCTGTTCAAATGCGAGAATGGGGAAAATTAAGAAAATATCATTCTTCTGAACGGTTACCAACACTACATACCCTGGAAAGCTCCAACATCGTGCAGCAATTTACCCACCGATGTTTTGGAAACTGCTTTCGTATAATCTCTTCAATTTTCTTCCACCATGAAGGACATTAGGCTTCCAAATTATTATAGGAATATCTCTGCTTCTCAGAGGTATTTTCATATTTTCCTTTTTACTCATGATTCTTATATAAAAAAATGTTGGTAACAGCATATTGTTAATGGTGGAACAAAAGTGCTCACAGATGTTGAAATAAAAGAATAGTAAATGTTTCTCGAAAGCCCACTGCAAAAGAGACAGGCCCAGCTAGCAGCCCACTCGTGCTTTGTTTACCTTCTAGTGTGACAGGAGGCTGTGATCAGTGCAAAAGATAAAATTTCCATAACACAAACAACAATCTGAATATAAGACCTGGACTTTTGACAGCAGAGCACAGTAGTTTGTAGCACCTCCCTTTTTATTTTGAGTGAATGAGCGTTAACTTGTCATTTTAATTGGATGCTTTGCAATTTAAAACAAATTTATGTAACAATGACAAGACAAAAATGTGCAAATCGACTTAACTTTTTGGGGAAATTCAGTGAACGAGCATAGAGTACAAGGGAAGCTAACAGAAATACAATGTTCGACCAAAGCTATTTAAAAAAAGAATATGGCAAAGTAATTTGTGTAAGTAATTTGTGCAGTAATGCCGTGCTAGCTAGCAGGACTTTGATCATCACAATAAACTGCCTTTTTGGTTCCATTGAAAAATAGTTGACATCATTTGTGCTTGTTTGAAGTCACGTGTCCCAGTAACCAACTGAGACAATAGGTTAGTTGCCTCATGAAACATCAGTACAGGGCTTTCAAATCCCTGCTTCCAGTTTATGAATTAGCAGCGCTAGCTTCTCCAAGGCCACGATTCACAAGACTAGAGCCCTCCCCCAGTTGCGCTTTCGCCTGAGTAGTCCATGTTATTTTCTGAATTCAAGTCATAAGCTAGGCTTAAATCATTTTTTTAAACATTTCACACATTTAACAATGCTTGGACACTGCAATGTTTAACATAAGCACTACACACACTGGTAGAGTGTTTATCAAATATTTTGAAGAGTTTGAAATGTATTAATATGGGATGAGAAAAAGGATGAGAGAAGGTTTGTGTTTGGCTTTGATTGGACGACAGACATGTAGCTTTTTTCCTGCGTCTTATTTACAAAGTGTTTATTGGAGCCTATATACATTGCACCACTCTCATAAATCTCTTTGTCTCTTTATCTCCTTACCTCTCCCAGGCGTGATTGTCCTGGCGTTTGTGTTGTGCTGGCTGCCCTTTCATGTTGGTCGGACCATATTCTCTCTTTCTCTCGGCACTGGTTCTGAAAAACAGGAAATCTCCACAGAGACAAACTCACACTTCAAGATTGACATGCTCACTGACGTCAGCGCTGACAGCAAAGATATCAACACGCATTCCGCTTCCAGACCCACAAGCCGCTCGGACTCTGACGCACACTTCTCCGAAGCCCCTCATCCTGGAAGGAGAATGGTTCACACCCTCGCAGAGGCAAATAAAAGAGTCTGCGACATGTGCGTAGAGCCCAAAGACATCAGCACACACAGCAGCCATGTGGGGACCGACAAACAAGTCACCTCTTATACCATAACACAAACGGAGCTGCAAAACACAAACATTGACACAAGTACACAAAACATGGATCCAAGAACTGAAGAAAGTTCACATAAGGAGACGCATGATAATTCAGCAAATGTTAACACAAAGCATGGTAAATGTTCACCAGACATAAACACAAAAGTGCCAGTGCATAACAGTACAAACAATAGGCGAGACAGAGTGATAATATCTGTAAAATCACAAAATGTCACATCTACTCACACACATTTTCCAATCCCAAATACTGCAGCACCCACCGATCTGTACACTGAAACACCAAACGTCACACAATACAATGACACACTCACACAACCTGACACCAACATGTACTTTTTGTACTATTTGTCGCAGTACTTCAATCTGGTGTCGTCTGTACTCTTCTACCTCAGTGCTGCCGTCAATCCATTACTCTACAACCTGATGTCGGCCAGATATAGACTTGCTGTTCACAGCCTCATACACAAAAACTCTCACGCTCAGCCTCACCGGCTCCGCACACTCACGGCGCAGCACTCTACGACCACTCTGTAAGGGCAAACACTGGACACATAGAAGGTGTAGACATAATACTCCTTTAAATCACACCTAATGATATATGTGATGTCATTTTGCTGACAATGTTTTCTTTTTAATACAAAGGGCATATTTGTGTTGATCATTTAGCTAAGTTTGTCTGTACTTTATTTTTTTCATTTATTATTTTTTTCATTTTTTAATTATTTGTATTTATTTTATGCTTTTCACTTAGCATATGAAGAACATAGAAAGGTAAAACTGTCTAAAAGAATTAATCTCTATCTAGGATTGATGTTTAAAGAGTACTGGCAAGCTACTATTAAGTTTTAACCCCTTTAAGCCATTGGTGCTTTGGTTAATTAGAAATTGGTTTGGTCTATTTCCACTAAAAAGGTTTTCCAGATTTAGTCAAACGAGCAAGTATAAAGTAAATTGTTTGAATGAAAATAGCATTTTACCACAGTAACAGTGGACACTGGAAGGATTATTCCAATTTTATGCTACGGGAAACCATTCTTACTTGGCTTGCTTGCAAATGTCAACCAATCTAAAATATTCTAAGAGAAATGGTGTTGAACATTGTGCCTTAAAGTTAACTGTTCTTTCCCGTTAACAGAGATTAGTAAACAAAGAGATCAGCCATTGGTTAAACGGCCATATTGAAGCCTCCAGACAGCATTTGAAAACAAAGCTTTCAGAGGTGTAGACAAGAAGGTGGAATGGAAATATGATACTTGAAATCTAATGGGAACAATGCAAATATCTTCAATATTATTGATATATATGTATATATATATATATATATATATATATATATATATTATTGATAAAATCAAGTACAACATGACAACCAGCATATTTCTCGTGAAGACTGACTTATCACCATAATTATTTGTGGGTGGAAAAGTATTAAATTCTGCCAGACATCCAGATAGAAGTTCAGACCTTTTTAAAGTTGATGGCACCACAATTGTCTTGTTGATGACAGCGGATGACTGTTCTGCCTTTTCCCTTAAAGTTAACTGCCTTGTGTATATGTAGCTTGTGAACCCTATCAAACTAGATGAGTTTATGTCTAGGATTGTAAATACTCAACGTTTGCTTTCTCATGTATATGAGTGATTCTTTGGGTACATTACCATTTGTACATTTGTAAATCAAAAGTGCACTATGAACTGTATATGTATGAACTGTATAAATATATAGTTTGTCCTTCTTTTTAATGTTTTTTTTAAATAATTGTTACACAGTCTCTGTTGTAAATATGTGTTGAACGAGAGCACTGTTGTAAACAAACATTTGTAGCTAAAAACATTGATGAGGAAAAAAAAGAGGTTCTGGAAAGGATAGGATTATTGCATGACTTGTATGCCACAATGTTTTCAAATGTCATACATTTCTCTTTAAATAAGGCCAACAAAGCTTACATGATATTACAATGTCAATACAAATTCTGGACCATTTTTGCCATTAATGCAAATGATGGAGTATCTTTAATCCTGGTCCAATCCACACTGTACCACCCTCCTCCGCCAAATAACACTGATCAGAAAGACTGACAACACTTAAAATTAAGCATGATGTACTTGATTTATTCATAATTTATTTGTTCATAAAGTTGTATTAGAGTTGTACACAGAGAAGAGATGCAGGGCTCTCATGTTGATTTATGGAGTTTCATACAGGCTGATGTGTTTATATGATATATATAGATATTTATTGATTACATTACATGCGCTGACGTGTCAAAACTGCCTATAAATGCCTTCATTTAACTCACAGTTAAGCTTGTATTTCCTCTGCAAAGGAGGTTATGTTTTCCCCAGCGTTAGTTTCTCTGTCAGCAGAAAACACTGTCAAATGGATAGCCTGAAGGGTTCTAGACAGACTGCCCTTGGGCAGTGACAATTGATTGGATTGTATCCATGCTCTTTCTGCTATGAGATTGCATTTTTCATTTTGAAAATCACAGTGATATGAAATGGGTACATATCTATATCACATGAGAGATGCATCAAATGATCACTTTGTTAGCTCAACTCTTGGTTTTAGGTAGCTGCCTGACCCACATGCAGAAATACTTCAGAAGGTAGATGTAAAAAAAGTTGAATTTCCTCAATGAGAATCGAGTTGTGGTTAAGTATGAGATCCGGACCCTGGAGCAGAAGTTCGTGAAGCGGGGATTGCAAATGGTTCAGAATAGGATGATGAGGACAGGCGAGTTAGAGTGCTTACAAAGACTGGAGGTGAGTTCAGAACACGCTTACTTTCTTGGAGGGAGTGTCGGTGGGGTCCAGGAGGTATGATATCCCAATCACTGAATGCCAGAGGTCCAGAGACATTTCCAAAGGATCCGTGAGCATGGTGGGGGAAAGAGCAGGGCCGGTCGGGATTTTGAAATGACGAGGAAATTTGTAGGTAAATGAGCTGGAATGGAATCCAGGGTACCATCTGGATGCAACCTGGGAACGAGTAGGGAAAAACACTGGAAGGTAAGTTTTCTATCATTAAGGGACTATTCGTGGAACACATGTCAAGGAGCGCAGAGTGCTTGGTGTTAGCAGTTAAGGTTAACTCTCAGGCATTGAAGGACTGTTAGAAACTGCTCTTATAATCCTCACTGATGACGCTTGATAGAACTTAGGTGTGTGGAAACGTCCAGCCAGCTGTGCTCCAGAACGACATCTACAGGCTGGCAATAGTCCTGGTGGTGTGCAAAACAGATTTAAGAACTTTCTGAATAACTTGGGTTTAAAAATGAAGTACCAATTTCTCAAATTACTCATCACAGATTCTACATAATTAATTCTACAAAGGGGTTTTCTGAAAAGCGGGTTTGTCATATGTAAATATAAAAAAAAACTGCTTAAATGTGGTAGACAATAACTTTTGCTTAAATATATATATCAAATCAAAGGATTTAAAAATCCTATTTTTAAGCTGGCATTACTCCACGACCAACCCACAAGCAGAAATGGTCTCAAACACCCTCTTCTTTGGGAAAACAGTAAACCTTGTTAATGAGAGCTCATAGTATTAGCCGAGTAAATGTTAAGTGGTCTTTCAAAATGTTTATACAAATGATTAATTCTTTTACCACCATTTGCTTCATGAGCTCCTGATGCGTGATAAGCATTGTGAGATTTCATTAGCATTCATTAGCCTTCACGAATTCATCCGATCAAAATTCACTAGAGCCCAAATCCTTGTGCTCTTGTTTTTTTCTTTCAAAAGAAAGCTTTCCCTTGTTCCGAAGCACAGAAGGAACCAAATATTTGACAGGACTTCTTCCTCTATTTTTAATTTAGTGGATACATTCAAGATCTTGATGGGAAGTGAAATTGCTGACTATTATGCACAGCTAAAAGTATCTTCTGTAGCTACATGTACAGACTTTGTGACAGCCAGCGCCACTTTAAGTTTAAACGCAGAATCTAATAGCAACTTTAACTTGTAAAAAAGTGAGTATTTGACTATTTTGTCAGACTTTAAAGAACGTAAAGGGACTTCTTCTGTGTCTCTTTCGCTTTACGTCTGTCCAGCTTCCTCCACATCCAACAGAAATGGCTGTACCTGTGCGTCAAGTGTCTAGAAAACTCTGCTGTGACGCTGCTCTCTGCAGGACATTATACTTTTATCAATGCAAAAGAATCATTTTAAGAAAGAGCTGATGAGTAATACATAATTAGATTAAAAATCTTTGTCTTGTGGGAACAAAAAGAAGAGTGGAAGGATATCGAGGCAGAAAATAATGTGCTTATTTAAACTACAGTGTTTATTTAAACTGTGAACCACTTAAAAACTAATTTTCATAATAAACTGAATAAATAATTGTGACCTTTTCTAAACCTTTGTGAAGAAAATGGAGAATACATCAATGTGGTCATGGTTCCCAGCTATGGTTACTGTGATATTTTCTACCAAACTTTAATTACTGAGAACTATGCTGACGTACGATTTGACCTATATTTCACAAAACAGTCAAATCTATATTCTTCACAATAGCTGAATGGCTTTAGTTCAACCATTGGGCAATTGAAGGATGTTTTACATACTATGCACCATCAGATGGTGCTGTGGTTTAAACATATGAATAGTGCATTTGTCCCTGATGCCTTTGTTGGCACACAGATAAATAAAGTAAAACAAATTTAGTCCCTTACTTGTCATTCAGTTTTGTGATTGTAGATTTTCTTCATTGTAACTAAAAGCGGGTTAATATTTAATATCTTTAACTGGCTACTGGTTTGACCAGGGGCTACGCAGTGGACAGCTCCCACTGTGCAAAAACATGTATTTTAGGTCAATTGAAGACTCAAAATTTCCTATAGGAATTAGGATGAGTGTATGTAACTGTCTCTGTGTACCCGGGAATAGTTCAGGGATGTAGTGTTTTCTGCCTCTCCCTATGACTGCCCCACATGACCTTAGCTAATGAATGAATATCAGTATACATATGATACCAGTAACTCTTGTTATGATAACCTTTTATGTAGAGGTGCACCTTGAGCTACATAAAAAGACCAATACAGGGAGGTGAAACAAAAATTGGAACAACTTCCCTGCTAAGGAATCGGTTCATTCCTTAACAGCTCATCGGTGAAACATACAAGAGGTCATTTCCTTTGACATGACTGACCAGTGCACCGTTGCCTCACAGGAACAGGGTTCCCAGTTCAAGTCCTCGGGGAACCGGGATCTTTCTGAGTGGAGTGTCCATGTGTCCAATGCCTGGGTTAACTCCAGATAATCCGGCTTTTTCCTACTGTCCAAAAGCATGTTAGGTTAATTTGAAATTCTAAATCGCACCTAGCAGTGAATGTGAGTGGGTGTGGTTGTTTGTATCTGTGTGGCCCATTGATGGACTGGCGACCTGTCCAGGGTGTACCTCACCTCTCGCCTGTGAGAGGAGACTCCCAACCACAGATCCAGACCCCACAGCTCCAGAGCCAGGAACACCTGCAGGAAGTAATAGGGACTATATAAATAAAAATTGAATATAAATAAAATTG